ACCTGCTCTCCCAGAGTTGCTCAAAGGAAAGGCGCTTCTCTGGTACCGGAACTACAAGTCGTATTGGAACACTTGGGGTGAATTTCTCGTCCATCTAGAAAACCAATTTCTGCCCCAGCGTTACAGGGAAAAACTGGACTCCGAAATAAGAGCACGTACCCAAGGTCAAAACGAGCTGTTTAATGACTACGCAATCAGTGTTCAGACCCTGATGCGGCGACATGGAAAATATTCTTCCAAGCAACAATTTAATCAGATTTACGAAAACATGCACCCAGAGTATAAGCTATACGGACTCGGATGGGAGATAAAAACTATTGACGAACTAATAACAGCTGCAAAGGAGTACGAGTCCATCAAACAATCAGCTGAAAATGTTCGCCCTCCCATGAACGCTGCACAATCCATGTATCCAAACATCGCATATAAGAATAGAGGCAAACTACCATGGCCTACAAGCATTCAACCGCAAAAACAGGGTGACCAGTACCTCCCTCATAGTTACGATCAGAGACACATTCACCATGGCTATAGACATGGAGACACAAGGCTTAAATGCTATAATTGTGATAAGCCAGGTCACTTATTCAGGGATTGTCATCTCCCTAAGAAACCGTCCTCGTGTAGGTTTTGTGGAGCCGAGGGTAGATCGGGAAACTGTAGCTGTTCTAGAGCAATAAACTACAGAAGAGACCCAGAGAGACAAGGGTCACCCAGTCCTCGACAGTAGGTAATATGAGAGACCAGTCACGCAGAAGGATTTTTTATTTGTTTTTCATCTGTTAAAAACTAAGAGACAGTTTTAAGTTTTGTTAGAAGAATCTTCATTTCGTTTCAAGAGTTAGTTACTTCAGTGTTAGTTTTTATTTTTGTGGACACTTTTTGGAAACTGGCTAATGCCGAAGAAAATTTTTTTAGATATATGGTCTTTTGAAAAATTGAATTTTCATTATGACGGTGTGATGGAAAAAGGAAAGATGGAATTTTTTTTCCTCGTTGGGAAGAAAAGGGAGAGTGTAAAGAAGTGTTTTTAACTCCCAAGAGAATTTTTGAGGTTAAAGATACAAAGGTACTCGGAGACATCGAAATGACTCCAATGGAGGGGAGAGATGCTCCGATGGGGGTGCTAAGGTACTCACCCCCACCTCTTGGGTACCATTCGGCGGGTACTTAACCAGGGTGTTTGGCACCGAGAAGTCAGTTGGGCCTCCGGGCCCAACCCCGCCGGATGGGCGTGCTGAGCCACCGGTGTGGGGCCTGATGGGCGTGTTGAGCACCGGGTACGCTGGACGGGCGTGTTGAGCCCCCGGCACCGTCGGACGGGCGTGTTGAGCCCCCGGCACCCTCGCATGGGCGTGTTGAGCCCGCGAGACACCTGATGGGCGTGCTGAGCCACAGGTACGCTGGACGGGCGTGTTGAGCCCCCGGCACCGTCGGACGGGCGTGTTGAGCCCCCGACACCCTCGCATGGGCGTGGTGAGCCCGCGAGACACCTGATGGGCGTGCTGAGCCACAGGTACGCTGGACGGGCGTGTTGAGCCCCCGGCACCGTCGGACGGGCGTGTTGAGCCCCCGACACCCTCGCATGGGCGTGGTGAGCCCGCGAGACACCTGATGGGCGTGCTGAGCCACAGGTACGCTGGACGAGCATACCCTATTTAAATGGAATTAGTTTAACAAGTACTTAGGTTTGCTGCAACAGGGAGGGTAAATTTTTTTTGTTGTAAAATGTTAATAGGTACTGTAGTTTAGTAAGAAATTAATTTATTTTCCAAATTGTATCAAAATATGTTCATAAACAAGCAAACTACAACAGTTGACTTATTCTCCATAAGAATACCATGGGAATTTTAAAATTACAATTTATTTTTTATTTTTTATATAACCATTAGGCGCATAATAACGCTTAAATATACTAAATTATTTGTTTTTTAAAGCTCTACGCAATAATTTGTAAATAAATACTCGTTCGAATAAATGTACACGTATGTACCAATTTCATCAAAATCGGATCATTTTTGCTCGAGTAATTGTGCTAACGGACACATATATATATATGTATATATATATATATATATATATATATATATATATATGAATTTGAACGGATGTTGTTTTTGGCCTCTAGGGACCTCAAAACGAAAAAGTAAATCGGTCCCGGGTCCAGGACTTACCATGAGTACTACGGTAATAGCTTATTCCCTATATGGGAAATTCGCTAAAAGGATTCGACTGCTCTGTGAGACCTGCAATGCTGCGGGATATCAGTTATTTATACAGTCGTTTTAAAAGCCCCTCAATAAACAACAGCATCGGAGATTAATTAGCTGGTGGAAACGTGGTTTTATTAACAAATTTCCGTACTGTAGATCAAGAGGAGTCTGCTTTGAGCTTCGATTTTAAAGATCATGCACAATGACAGCGATTTCATTACTGCCAACTCAAACTTAATATTGTTCAATTGTGAGGCTGAATAGCTGGATGTGAGATATCTACTTTTGTAGACTTTAATCAGAGTCTAGACATTGTTACACGTTGGTTGAACGAACGTGTATAACAAATCTTAGTCTTACATGGATAGTTTTCCAAGTGCATAGACATTGTTTACTACTTTTTTTTACGTCTTCATTGATAAATACATTTACGTTGATGGACAAACATACCTAGTTTTATTATTTCTGCTTCTCGGAATGATTTATAAACAAATCTTATACCAATGAATACACAAACTATACTTATACTTCAATTACGTCCTCGATGATTTCACATAATTTAAAATACTCATATTTACTATCCATAATATAAACATGCAAGCAAACAATACCAGCTCTAAGATCGTATTAAGCAAACATAATACCTTTGACTATTCATACAATATTGGATACTTCTGTATCCAATAGTCAAGGATAATACTCATAATATACAATATTTTCACCACTGATATTCAACACATGATGAAATGACGCATGACCCCATATAATATATGGGGTTTAATATATTATATTAAAAATATTAAGTTATTGTTAGTGTCTAAAGATTTGTTATGTTTCCAAACTGTTTATAGTTGTCTTTGACGTCTTTTATCATAACAATATTATACTATTGTGTTAGCTTGATTAACATCTTAAAAATTTTAGTTTAGAATTTTGAGTTATTAAATACTATGTCTTAAATGTATCTATACATTTAAGAGTAGTATTACTGAAAAATCATTGTCAATAGAAAGAGTTTTTCGTTCGTTTGAAAACATCGTCAGTGTAAAATCATTTTTGTTTATCGTGTCATACTCAGTAGCTACTCTGACACTTATACACATATTTGTGTAACGCTAAACAGGTTTATAGGTTAAAAAGTATCCAACTCTTGAACTATTTACTAATATTGTTTTGATCCTATATTCCTCTATCTACAGAGTGCCTTGTAACCATATGATCAAACTTTGTCATGTTATTCAGCTTGTCAAAAGAAACCAACAATGTAAAATAGCATGTGTTCTATGACGTTCCGTTTTCGGTATATCTGTCTGTCCGTTTTTTTTCCATTCAAACAATGTTAAAAGGTAGTTTGATCAATTTAACATTGTTTAAATAGAGAGAAATTTAAGTACGGAAAGAAGAAATTAATTTCTTAGTTATTCTTTGTCCAATTTAACTTTATAAGATATCATTGTATTTTGCATGAAATTTACAAAATTTTTGATATCTTGCAAATATTTTTTTTTATTAACAGTTTCGTTGAATTTGGCGTCACATATTTTAAAAGGCCGCCATTTTTAGACGGTTCAAGAGTTTTTATTCATATTTAGCGAAAATATAGTGGTCAATTACATAAACAAATTTGCAGAATTTCAACAATGTAGTTTAAGCAGTTAATGAGTTGTGAATGTAAAGATCACATACAGACAAATATACCGAAAACGGAATGAGATATGATACATGTTATTTTACATTTTTGTTTCTGTTGACTTGCTGAATAACGTGACAAAGTTTGTTCAGATGGTTGCAAGACACCATATTATTTAACGATGCTGTGTGTGCTGAACGAAAATATCGCCTCATTTAGACGTTGTTTGTCCTAACCGTGGACCATCAATCACTGGGTGACGTCACGCTAATGTTGTTTGCTAGCTGCAGGCCAACCTTTTATTGCCTTAGAAATAAATAGTTGCGTTCCTGTCACCACTTACATAACTCTGAATTAACGCACTTTCGTGTTACGGTTTCGTTACCCTCGCAACATTCAATCTTTTTAACGCAATAAATTAATTAATTTTTAACCTAGAAGTTTACCTAATCTAGAATAAATTGAAAAAAACAGAGGAACATTTCACAGTGGATAACTTGACATTTAATCGTCTGGGGCCTTTTTAACGTATTAAGTGACAATTTCGTTAGTTTGCTACACTTTAGTTGGTATAACAGTTAAAAGTAGGGGAAAAATATTACACCAAATAACCATAAACTATACAAATTGGTATAAAAACCCATCTTACCGTCCACGTACAAGGCCGTCCGCTTGCGTTGTTTGTTTGGAACGTTTTGTAAAGAGACAAAATTAAACGAATTTGTTAGGCGAATTAAAATGAATGGCTTAAGCCAACCCATCCGTATGATCTCAATTTTCCCTTTCACACCAAAGAATTCAAAGAATATATTTTAATGTAGCATTAAAATACTTCGTTAATCATCACAAAAATGTTTTATTATTTAAAATAATATTATTCATGATAACTAATGTAATATTGAAGAATATTGAAGAAATCATCATGTATCGTGGTTAATACAATAAATTTAATAATTCTAAAACTAAGTAATGCTGCAGACTGTTCACAAGCCATGCATGATTGTGGTTTGGTTATTTATGTATATTTGGTACAGTGGTTTCAATTTAAGATGGAAACTAGCTGTGCTCTGATGGGTTTGGGACCAGACACTTCTGCAGATCACCTTGGGATGTTACATGACGGTACTGTGTGCATTGTAAATGTATGTTTGATGCAGAGGTTCCTACGTGAGTTTAGCAAGAACTGCACTATGGGATCACGACCTCTAGAGGACAGTCAGTGGGGTCTGGGAGCTCACACTTCTACAGATCACCTTGGGATGTTACAAGACGGTTCTGTGTGCATTGTAAATGTATGTTTGATGCAGAGGTTCCTACGTGAGTTTAGCAAGAACTGCACTATGGGATCGCGACCTGTAGAGGACAGTCAGTGGGGTCTGGGTGCTCACACTTCTACAGATCACCTTGGGATGTTCCATGACGGTATGTTCTTTTATCTTGATACACTTACGACATAGCATTGTTGTTTGAATAAATCCTGTTAGTTCAAAATAAACTGGCTAACTGACTGGTTGTTAAACTACAGTAGTAAATTAATATCATTTCTTTAAGACGTAAATAGGAGATAGCATTATGGTTTAAATGTTCTACCACTTCACCTAAACAATACAGAAAAATAATTTATTATTAAAAATTTGCAAAATATCACATATTATTTATGAAATTAAAAACATAAACATATATGTACGATTATACATATTCAACATATTCAAATACGATTATAATCGTAAACAATCCTACTTTGACAGCTCTCATAGCGTATCACAGTTTTTTGTTCCTGCTTAGTTCAAATAAGTGGTTTTCATAAATGCAAAAAAATCACACAAATTTGGTAAATCTTACAACTTTTTAATGGTTTTACATATAACATAGAACCATTTTTTTTAGTTGAAACAGCTAAATTCTTTAATTCCCTTCAAATATGAATACTCATAAGGTTAACATGGGGAACTACAGAGCCACTGGGGCGGAGCCCAAAAGGATTTTTGAGATAAGAATATTCGTATATGTTAATCGGGAATGTAAGCTATCATCATGCCAAATTTCAACCCAATCCATCCAGTAGTTAGTGCGTGATTGAACCACAAACAAACAAACACACACACAAACTATCACATTTATAATATTATAGATTTTGCGTTTGATAATAGATTGTGCACTAACCATTATTTTTTATTCTTCGTTCACTAATTGAAAGGTACGGTACAGCTATGTCAAAGTTGTCTTCTAAATGATAAGTCTTTCAAAAGAAGAGACTATTATATCAGCAAACGAGTTCAAATAAAGATGTTCTACGAACTCCACACTGTTTCATTATACAATGTTTTGTTGTTGTCCTATTTTTTAAGCATTTTATTGTCTAAAAACAAGAATTGTTGGTTTTTTTGCATCGGAGGAAATTTTAGAAGAGACATTCTCATAGTATTACTGTAGTTTCAAACTCAATACTGTAGCTGTCTGTTGCTCAACTATGTTCGCCACATGAACTTGTATAGTAATCAAATTACTGTCTACCTGAGAGACCACGATGTAACGGTCAACACATCTCACTCGCAATATATATTTGTATACAAACGTCTGTAAATATAGTGAATCACGAGTAATAAGTTTCTTGTTTTTCCGAGTTGATTTATATAAACCAAGTCTAGTCAAAACTGACATAACTACATAACTGTCTCACAATTTTGTTTTTAAATCAAACTCATGATTAAGTTTTGTGCAAACATACAAACTAAATAATACTGATTGCATTGTAATGTCAACAAATTTATTCTAGATTTTTTAAGAGTTGTAGGGAAGTTTCCCGTCATACAAAAACTATCAAACCATAATTCAATGTAGGCCTATAGGTGCCATTTTGATGTTTTAACTTAGGATGTTAACCAACTATATGTTCAATGATCTGAAATATGGCTTTGGGATATAAAAATTGATTCGTTTTATGACAAGATAGAGAAAGTACTGTGTTAATACAATTAGCATGGATTTACTAATTAGAATACCATGCAAATTAATTATTCTTGAATTGGGTTGGTTAAGGAATATTTTTTTTTATAAATTAAATATAATTTTCTCGTGGTTTTGATCTGCATTCTTCCATTCCTTTTTTACAATTTGCCCAAAACTCTCTTCATCCATGTACATTTAAACGTAATTTTCAATATCCGAACTCAGTCAAAAGTACTTAATCCAAGCCAGAGTATGAAAATAAATGCGACTTCAAGATTAAGCCTATGGATCTATAATTAACGTGTATTTAATTAATCATTTCATACTTTTAAGGTAGATTGTAAACCGAATATGCACATGTCAGCTCCTCTAATCAGTGTGTTGTTGGTTCAGGAGTGACAGTACAGCCAGGGCGGCGGATGCAGGCTCTTTGTGGTAACCTATCCAAGAACTACCGGGAGGTTCGGTGTGTACCAGCGCCAGACGCATTCAACCCCTGCGAGGACCTGATGGGCAACTGGGCCCTCCGGGTCGCCGTGTGGCTCGTGGCCGTAGCAGCGCTACTGGGGAACATCACCGTGCTGCTGGTGCTCGGCAGTAGTAGGTGGGTACTCAGCAAAACCAAGTAGGGTCCTTTGTAAGTTCTCTCAGGAAGAATTTAAACTAGGGAGCCCTTGATGTGAGTATCTTTTGACAAGTTCCTGAGGGAGCCCTTGATGTGTGTATCTCTTGACAAGTTCCTGAGGGAGCCCTTGATGTGTGTATCTCTTGACAAGTTTCTGAGGGAGCCGTTTATGTGTGTATCTCTTGACAAGTTCCTGAGGGAGCCCTTGATATGTGTATCTCTTGACAAGTTTCTGAGGGAGCCGTTTATGTGTGTATCTCTTGACATAGTTCCTGAGGGAGCCCTTGATGTGTGTATCTCTTGACATAGTTCCTGAGGGAGCCCTTGATGTGTGTATCTCTTGACATAGTTTCTGAGGGAGCCCTTGATGTGAGTATCTTTTGACAAGTTCCTGAGGGAGCCCTTGATGTGTGTATCTCTTGACATAGTTCCTGAGGGAACCCTTGATGTGTGTATCTCTTGACATAGTTCCTGAGGGAGCCCTTGATGTGTGTATCTCTTGACAAGTTTCTGAGGGAGCCGTTTATGTGTGTATCTCTTGACATAGTTCCTGAGGGAGCCCTTGATGTGTGTATCTCTTGACATAGTTCCTGAGGGAGCCCTTGATGTGTGTATCTCTTGACATAGTTCCTGAGGGAGCCCTTGATGTGTGTATCTCTTGACATAGTTCCTGAGGGAGCCCTTGATGTGTGTATCTCTTGACATAGTTCCTGAGGGAGCCCTTGATGTGTGTATCTCTTGACATAGTTCCTGAGGGAGCCCTTGATGTGTGTATCTCTTGACATAGTTCCTGAGGGAGCCCTTGATGTGTGTATCTCTTGACATAGTTCCTGAGGGAACCCTTGATGTGTGTATCTCTTGACATAGTTCCTGAGGGAGCCCTTGATGTGTGTATCTCTTGACAAGTTTCTGAGGGAGCCGTTTATGTGTGTATCTCTTGACATAGTTCCTGAGGGAGCCCTTGATGTGTGTATCTCTTGACATAGTTCCTGAGGGAGCCCTTGATGTGTGTATCTCTTGACATAGTTCCTGAGGGAGCCCTTGATGTGTGTATCTCTTGACATAGTTCCTGAGGGAGCCCTTGATGTGTGTATCTCTTGACAAGTTCCTGAGGGAGCCCTTGATGTGTGTATCTCTTGACATAGTTCCTGAGGGAGCCCTTGATGTGTGTATCTCTTGACAAGTTTCTGAGGGAGCCGTTCATGTGTGTATCTCTTGACAAGTTCCTGAGGGAGCCCTTGATGTGTGTATCTCTTGACATAGTTCCTGAGGGAACCCTTGATGTGTGTATCTCTTGACATAGTTCCTGAGGGAGCCCTTGATGTGTGTATCTCTTGACATAGTTCCTGAGGGAGCCCTTGATGTGTGTATCTCTTGACATAGTTCCTGAGGGAGCCCTTGATGTGTGTATCTCTTGACAAGTTTCTGAGGGAGCCGTTTGTGTGTGTATCTCTTGACAAGTTCCTGAGGGAGCCCTTGATGTGTGTATCTCTTGACAAGTTTCTGAGGGAGCCGTTTATGTGTGTATCTCTTGACAAGTTCCTGAGGGAGCCCTTGATGTGTGTATCTCTTGACATAGTTCCTGAGGGAGCCCTTGATGTGTGTATCTCTTGACAAGTTTCTGAGGGAGCCGTTCATGTGTGTATCTCTTGACAAGTTCCTGAGGGAGCCCTTGATGTGTGTATCTCTTGACATAGTTCCTGAGGGAACCCTTGATGTGTGTATCTCTTGACAAGTTTCTGAGGGAGCCGTTTATGTGTGTATCTCTTGACAAGTTCCTGAGGGAGTCCTTGATGTGTGTATCTCTTGACAAGTTTCTGACGGAGCCCTTGATGTGTGTATCTCTTGACAAGTTTCTGAGGGAGCCGTTTATGTGTGTGGGGTTGACAAGTTCCTGAGGGAGCCCTTGGTGTGTGTATCTCTTGACAAGTTCCTGAGGGAGCGAGGGAGCCCTTGATGTGTGTATCTCTTGACATAGCTCCTGAGGGAGCCCTTGATGTGTGTATCTCTTGACATAGTTCCTGAGGGAGCCCTTGATGTGTGTATCTCTTGACATAGTTCCTGAGGGAGCCCTTGATGTGTGTATCTCTTGACATAGTTCCTGAGGGAGCCCTTGATGTGTGTATCTCTTGACATAGTTTCTGAGGGAGCCCTTGATGTGTGTATCTCTTGACATAGTTCCTGAGGGAGCCCTTGATGTGTGTATCTCTTGACATAGTTCCTGAGGGAGCCCTTGATGTGTGTATCTCTTGACATAGTTCCTGAGGGAACCCTTGATGTGTGTATCTCTTGACAAGTTTCTGAGGGAGCCCTTGATGTGTGTATCTCTTGACAAGTTTCTGAGGGAGCCCTTGATGTGTGTATCTCTTGACATAGTTCCTGTTGCACGTAGGTTTCGCATGACGGTGCCCAAGTTCCTGATGTGCCACCTCGCCGTGGCCGACCTCTGCATGGGACTGTACCTTCTGATGATTGCTGCTGTGGACTCTCGCTCTATTGGAGATTACTTCAACTATGCCATCGACTGGCAAAATGGTAATATATTTGATGGAAAATGTTAAGGATGGTATTTACTTCAGAATGTAACTCTCATAGTAAAGTCATACAGTCTTAAATTATTTTATCGTTATTGTATCAAATCAAAAAATTTTTATATCTTTGATGAAAAAAACTTTGTTTCTATTTTGAAATAGATTTAGTGTATGCTTCATAAAATATTCGTACTTAAGAACCAAGAAAGAAATGATAAATGTTTAAAACACGTTTGTCATAACTCAAGCTTTACTACGGGGAAAAAGAAATCAGATTTGTAACTTTAAAATTGTATCTCATTGGTCCAAAAATGTGTTATAAAAGTGTTAGGGCCTACTGTTAGGAAATAATAATCGAAAAATAGCGTGTGTACGAGTTGTAGGCTATTTTCTGATAGAATGAATGCAATGGGAGCGAATCAATTAAAATCTGTTCAAAAGTGTAATAAGAACCAACATGTAGCTCACAATAGCATTTTACAACACGTGCATGGATCTATGAAAGCCATTGGCATAAAGCTCTAGGCAGATTTAAAGACGAGAATAGGCAATGTGATATGATAATGTTCAAATCTTTAGTCCAAACACAAGTTTTACCTTGTTAATTGACTTTCAAGTTCTTAGTTGGATATAGTTATTACCAGACGTATCCGTGCTTGGCAGGCCTTGGTTGTCAGGTAGCTGGAGCTTTGACCGTGTTCGCCAGACAACTGTCCATCTACACTCTGACCGTGATAACTATAGAGCGATGGTACACCATCACATACGCAATGCATCTCAACAAGCGGCTGAACCTACCTTGCGCCTGCAAGATCATGGTGTGTGGCTGGGCCTACGCCCTCCTCATGGCTGTCTGTCCCCTGCTGGGCATCAGCGGCTACTCCAAGACTAGGTAACCACATAGCACACGAGTAGCCACAGAATATACATCTGAGAAGGCTATTAAAGCCTCTATAAATAAATACGTTTCAAGGTATGCTTGCCAATATGGTACTTAATTTATTTCTTAATACATTCACAGGGTAGTGACCACCCACGCCATGCTAAAATGTGTTGAGACTTTTTGGGCAAATAAACTACTAGTTCCTAGGCGGCGTTAGTAGCAAAACCGAAGCGTAGTTGTCATGTCAAGCAACATGGTACCGGCTCTGTCAAGTATTGGGATTGAATTAAAGATGGTGGTCTACTTCTATTTTGTGTCTATTCTTTATTTTATGATATGTCTGTCTCACTCGTGTTTAATCATGTAGATAGGACGTATGCATACAATATATTACACTCTTTACTTTTTGTACAACATAAAACTCATGTTACCTTACCCAGTTCAGTGATTATAATCAGAGTTTATGAACCTTACCTTGTATTCATGGGGTTATTTGGTTACATATTATCTACAATGTAAATTGCACTACAATGTTATATCAAAATAAACTTGACTGTCCACAGTATCTGCCTTCCATTAGAGAACTTGAAGCCGTGGGACTTGGTGTACTTGGTGGTGCTGCTGGCATTCAACGGTGTGGCTTTCTGGGTGGTGGTGGTCTGCTACGGCCGCATGTACTGCGCCATCCGCGGCGGCCAGGACAGCGTCGCGGCGCTGACACGTTCAGACATGACCGTCGCCAAGCGCATGGCACTCCTAGTCTTCACCGACTTCGCTTGTTGGGCTCCGATCGCCTTCTTTGGCGTCACGGCACTCGCTGGTTATCCACTCATAGACGTATCAAACACTAAGATACTCCTAGTATTCTTCTACCCTCTGAACTCCTGCGCCAACCCGTACCTGTACGCGCTGCTGACTCAGCAATACCGTCGCGACCTGTTCGTCCTCCTCAGCAGGTAATTATAAACATATTAAGAACCACAATCAATGCGAACTCGTAAAACTGGTTTATTCTAAACTTTTATACGTAGGCCTAAACAGAATTTTTATGATCAATTTTAATGTACTATATAAAATATATCTTGCCACCATCAATATCAGTCGGCAGTTTAATAGGTCGAAAATCGACAGCAAGTTGTGTTGTTTTGGTATATTGTTTAATACTTTCCTAGTCTTCGGGCAAGAGGGAGCAGTTTGGATTTTCATCATAACTCAATCTTGTGGTTTCATCCACTTCACAGAATTAACAAAATTACATTGGACTAGTGGCTTGTAGGTTCAGTAGCCCCTATGTATATATTGTAGTAATTATTTTGTACAAATTATTAGTCCCATGGGTTACCCTACTTTGATTATCGTTTAACATTATTGTAAGCTATATTATAATATGTATAATAGTTATTACATACCTGCATAATGCATTTTAAGGTCTGCTCTGTTAAAAATAAAAATTACAAAGGATTTTTCATGCGGTGTGTTTATAATATAAACTTTCTAATCATAATACAACTAAGGACAATTTTCAATGATAATCTTCATGACTATTAAATAAATGTATATAAATTTCTTTGAATAGACAAATTCACTTAGATAAAATACATGGAGATAAATTATTCAAATAAATGCCAATTTTTGTGAAAATTTCCCTTGTAAACTTAAACGGCATATTAGGATCTGTGGATATTAGTTTTATTTTTGGCATGGAAAATATGTTCCCTTTGCCTACTCCAGTAATTACTACTAACTTAACACTTTTTCCAGTAATACCTAACACAACCAATCGTACTCCATTAACTAATCCAGACCCTAGCTTCATATTTCTAATGATCATCACTATTGAACCAACTTTTAAAACTAATTTGTGTGGTGGCATTCCAAATCGTGCAATTAAATTTATATAGTCAATTGGTATGTTCAACCTCTCTTAAGGGTTAGTATACATATTACAATGCATATTACATATTACCATATGCTTTAAATAAAGTTAAACCACATGTTTTAATGTAAACAAAGCAGACATAACCTAGATTCCCATGTTATTTAAATGTGAATAATTTTATTCCGTCACAACCTTTTGGTGCATAATTAAGAAAAATGAATAATTTTCCCCAAAATTTCATGCTCAGACCTTTAAAATGAGACCCCTCCCAGCTTTCTACGCCCTCCGGTTCGCTCACAATTTCATTGTAAAATTTTGGGCTTACGGAATTAGATATATAGATTATAAAAATAGAAAAGGAGTTGTTGAGGAATTAGTTATATATTTGATTAGAAGGGATTGGAGAATATGATTGCCAAAACAGAACTCAAATTTTAATATGATTGTGATGAGACACTTCTCTGTGTTTTGGAGATGTTCCGATATTACGCCACGTTAAACTGCAGAGAAAGGTAGGCCTAAAACAAAATTATTGTCTCAAATTTTTCTCTATAATAAACACAGAGTAAAATCATTATTAAGATTTAACAACATTTTCTTCTGATCATCATTCATGAAAATGATCAAGCATTTTTTGTAACTATTGTGAATTGATTAGTCTCACAGAAAGTGTTACGAAGATAGCCCTGTTATTCTGTAAAGCTGACGTTAAAGCTATATTCCTTTAAAATATGCTTTAGTTTTACCAAGCTAAAGTATCATTTGCAAATTACACAAAACGGGTATTTGTTAGTTTAAAAATCAATTTACTGCCCTTATTAGACGAAAAAATGTTTTCATATTAAAAATTGAACTCAATAAACGATGTAGTTTATTTTGTAGCTTCGCATCGAAGATCTGTCAAAAATAGGCTAGCTGGCTCTAGTGTCTATGTTGTAGTATGTAAATACACACACGAGCAAAGATAATAGGCGGTCACACGAGACCTTGTGATCATTATGTAACCGCTGCAGCTAACCCAAGGACATAATTATTGGCTGACAGCCACAATAATAGAGTAAGCCTCTTAGACTTCCATAAGCTGTTGTGTCATGTAAAACGAGATTATTTTATCATGTCAAATGAAAGTTTAAGGTTTATTTGTTTAATACAAAACACTTATACCCCAATACCATTAACCAATCCGTGGTGGCAATAAAGCACACAGATCATGAGTGGAATTGAGATGTGTGTAAACATATCTGTAAAATACTGTAAAAGGTTATTGTCCTACATTTATGGAGTATTTGTTGGTATTGCTCATTAACGAATGGCTTTCAGTGATTGATTACCGAAAACCCATGTGCCAATTTCAGTTGCATTGTTATGAACAGTGTATGAAGACGTAAAATGCACCCACTTGGAATTTTTATTGTTATTGTACAAATAAAAAACGTTTAAGTGCGTCAATAGCTCTGTGTGCATATGAGATCTTTCGCTTGTCGAGAGGAGCAAAGAAGTAAGCAGACAAAGCTATGAGGTAAACTTTCTTGAAGTTTTTAATTTAGCAATCATATAACCATACTAAGTTATTTCTAAACATTATAATAAGGCCTATGATTGACCAGGTACGGGCTGTGCTCGAACACCGCGGCGAAGTACAAGGACCCGCTGGAGATGGCTCGTGCTGGAGGGTTCCAGAGAGTGTCAGTGCCTGGGGGGTCTGCTCCTCACCTCCACCGAGGGTCCGTCCTCACCACCATCACTTGTCTGGACTCTACCACACCCGGGGGGCGCCTCGTCCACCCCTCCAACCCACCGATACACAAAATCAGCATTTCTTAAAACATCCGTGTGTGTATGATTACTTTTCTGCAGTGATCAAATTTCCTGTTGTACAACGGCACCAGCATAAAAACTATTTCTTGAGGGGGAGGGGTGATTCGAAATTAGGCTGTTTTAGGAGACAGGGAAAAGACCTTGTTGCAAACTATAATTTTTTTTTACAGTTCAAAACTTATTTTTATGGTTGTTTTAAATTATTTTTAATATTTTACATAAAATAAATATAATATTATTAAATATTTATTTCACTGTTAAAACCAATGCTGCAAATTGCCTAGTACTTCGAGGATTAAGTAGGAGAGAGCCAAGTAAAATAATAAGTATTTGTTCGGAACTATTTTCACCTATATAAAGTCATATTCAGTGTAGCCTAATCTTTGCTCAATAGCAACAACTTAAGTTTTTCCCTTTGTACTGTATTTTGTAATTTGCTATTCGACTGTGGATTCCTTCTTATAAACACATGCACATTATTTTGTTTACTTTTTATTGTTATTTGTTCAACCAACATGGTTACTTGGCAACCCATAAGGCCATTGTTGAACATTTTTGAATTTCGATTTGATTTTTGCGTAGTTAGATTTTTGTTGGCAAGTTTAACTGCAGTAAACACGTTTTTAGGCCAGAAATAAATTCTTTGCAACATTTTAAGGAAATCGCCCAAGCCGTTTACGTGATCTTTGTGCAAGCATACATAACAAGCTTACATACAAGCATTGCATTGCAAGCAAACATTGCTCATTTAAAAGTATAGACTTTAAACTTTTAAATAATAAACAATTTAGTTGCAAAAACCACCTGTTCTCCATTAAAACACATATCCCTCTGCCCCCCCCCCCTTTGCGAGTGATCATGCTGTTGTATGCATACAACACTCTCAACAGCGATAAGATGTGATATTGAATTCGACCAGTTCGTAAGTATTGCGAACTATGAATAATATTGTTCCGTTGAGCTTGCGCACCTAACAGCTCAAACTAATTTGTATTGCCTCCTTGGTATGTGTTGATGAGGTTGACTTTTGAAGTCCTGGAGGAAGACTAGACTTCGAGTGGCAATACTGTATATAACAAGTTGGCTGATGTCTTTATCTCACAAAAATTCTGATGGTTGTACAAATAGGAGAAACAATGTCACGTGTAAATGTTTTTAAGTATAACTCTTTTTTTAAATTATATTTATATAGTAATATTGAACGAGTCTTAAAATATATGAATGAGAAAATAATGTACTATTTCAAGATTGAAATACAAGAAGCTCAATGTACATTTGTAAGTGTTCAACGGTTTTCGTTTATAACTTTATACCTTTGTAAATAATGTTAACTTAAAATGTCCTTGCTGTGTTTCATATTTGATGATATTAATTTATGAATGTTAAATGTATTCATGCCTTTTGTACTAAGTTAAAATATGAATAAAGATTAAGTATTTTTAAATGTTTGTTCCAAATAATTTCCTACACCTTATTTGTTGGGTAACCTAAAAGCATCGTTTATTTTTATTTAGACAAATTCTATCTCCTTCATGGTCATACCACTGCAAAAATAACATACCTTGTGTAGGCCTATAGATTAAGGATATCTCGACGTTATATTTTACGACGGTTTAGATATTGTATGTGCTGTTTTTCCGAGAAAATCTAAGATCTACAGGATAATCCAGCGAAACTTAAATTGAACGGCTCAATCTACGCACAAGAAGAAGTTTCATAAATCATCCACGTCGACGTCAGAAGGCCAATTTAATACAAGTATCAGGAGCTGAAGCTGTTAGAAAAAGAATTTATCTCTATACAGCTACAACCAGTATTTTTCTAGTAATCGTGGCTACAACTTAACACTCAATATTTCATAGTATTCTACCCCATTTGTGTAACGTCTATTCTGTTGTGGTTTTTTAAACTATTTTACCTACGCAATTGTTTTGATTAATTTATTCGTTGTTTTTCATGATTTAGATTTCCTAGCAACCATATTCATACATCCATTGTTTTATATCGTAGTTAACTTAAACGAAAAAAACAGTAATTACATAACGCAAAGTTGATGTCTACACTGATATAGATTTCAAGCTACAGTATTTACAAGTTTAGTGCTAAACGGTAACATAAGAACTGGTAGGAGCCAGTTTAAAACGAGGTGTTTACTGTGGTCGCGTAAGGACACGTTTAAAGCTTGTTTTAAGTAAAACCATGGATATGGTAAAACTTTGAAATCTTAAATTTAAAAGGGAGGAGAGAATTACATTACATAAAATACGAAACCATGGAAACAATTAGCTTATCTATCTCCAAATGTGAAAACTCACTTTGAATTTCCACAAACTCGTTTGTTTTCTAACCCCGTCTTTTTAATGTCAGCACGTTTCGGGATTACGAATCTGAGATTCGGTAAATGTTTGATCCTTCATTCCTATCTGAACTGAATAAATAGTTCAGAGTAAAATATCTTATGTAGGCATTGTAAAAGCTATACCACCTTAATAAACTCTATTTGTTCTATTTGTTTTGACCTAAGAACCTTCATTGAAATACCAGCTTCCATCTCAATAGAAGCAACTGATGTTTTTCTCTTTGTACTGTATTTTGTAATTTGCTAGTCGACTGAACAATGACTGAGTTATGATTTGAGTGTTTTGTGTTTGTTGAGCTGGATTATTTTTTAGTTTCGGGTATGTATCGTTTGGGATAACGTGACTTCTGATATAGTACCACGAATGCCTACACTTTTATGTTAAAAACAAATATACAGAATACCTCCTCTAAAAAATATATCCGTTAAAATTCGTTTTACTGGATGTAAATTATTGACACCTCGCCGAAACAGAAGCGAAGCCGCCTGACAAAGATATTTACACGAGCCGTGATATTACTGTTAACGCTTACCCTCAGCGAATATCGTGCATTTTCAGCATTTCTCGTCGTGATGAAACTTGGAACAGAGATGGAAACTTGACAAGTGACTGTTTGTCGTCACAGTGTGAATTAACTCACCCAGCCGCATGATAAAACTACCTGCAGCATCTACTGTAGGCTATATCTAGCTCAACACACTTCTTCATCACGGATACGGATTTTAAACCGCATGTAAATGTATATTGCCCAAGATAACTGATAGGTCAATGGGAAATCACAAGAATTTGTGTTTGTTATCAATGATAAGTTAACATGTAGGTTTGTTGCTTCGAGAGAAACCAACAGTATTATTTCGACTCAAATGCAACAGCTTTCGTAATGTAACCTAACATAATGATAATCTAATAGGTTGAAATTTACGTGCTGCTCATAAAACAACTACAGTACAAGGTTGATGGGGTTAAGTAGATTTTTACAAAATTCGTGTACAAAAGTAATCTCTATAAGCGACTAACGAAATGACGTACAGTTTGTTACAATGTATGTAATTAACATAGAAACTATAGAGTGTGGAATTTTGAATAGGCTTTATAAACAGATAATAGTTCTATACATTAAATCTGCTTAATGTATATGGTACAATTATGTTGGAATTTTGTTTTTATCTTATTTTAAGTGTTATAATGCTAACAGTTTTCTTTTGTGATATTTTTTATCGAAAGCAGTAAACATTAGGAATAAAGGTGTAGTGCTTGTAAATAAATAGACAGTCTTATTACAAGGAAATGTAGTAAAATATAGTTTTAACGTACCCATGTTTTACTCACATAATAACCCATTCGACGTCATCTACTGGAAAACAATTCGGCTAAGCGATGTTATACAATCATGAGGTAACTTACTCTGGAATTCTGTTTTGCCAGAGGAGATTGAAGCTGCATTCCTTACATTACATTATTATAAGTCATTATTTTATATTTCTTTTTAAATGAATAAGGGTACACACTTTGTAATGGTAAAGGACAAAGTACAGCATAATGCTTGTCGTTACAGATCAAATACAGATCAAACATAAAATAATAAAAATAGTTCAACAATGTGATTGAGAAGTTATATTACTATAACCTAAATAATAACGTTTCAACCAGTAACTTCCTTTGAAATGAAATTACAAGGATGTGTCAACTAGCTTTGTATCTTTAACTTGGGTGATTGAACTTCCGCAAAACCACCATTTCGAGTGAATACACTGTAGCAGCCTACATGTAGCAAGTTGGGCGATAGAAATGTCGCAATTCAGAAGACTTACTTCAGGACATGAATAGCACCTCGAGTGATTGATGTCTAATGTATAACGTAAAGAAAATAGGTAAATATTTCAGAGCATCAAGTGGTGATGTAAAAGAGCTATACATATTTTGCAGTCATAAAGTTGGTTTGAGCATACAATATTGTACCTGTTGAAAAACTGTTTACTTCACAAGTCTACACGGTATGCACTGGTAGCAATAAAAAGCGGCATATGTTTTAATTTAGAAGAGCCGTCACTAAACTGAATTCATTAATAATGCCACCGAAATATAATTTCACTATAAATGATCATTCGGGTCCCATCTCTGCTAAGGCTTATACATTTTGCATTTTGTAAGCTCCATCTTTGCTTATTTATTGCTATGACCGTAAAACTACTTGAACTAAACTTATAATTCCTATCCACAACCATCCTGTTTTTTTAGAATTATTGAGCGAAGCTATACTATGTTGTTGCTTTTGTTTTCTACATACTTATCCTGAACGTCTGAAACGGTCCGCTATACATTTAGCACAGTCTCAGTAATCAACCACGTGAAGGTATAAACCTTAAATTATACAAATTGGACTACAGGGCTTTTCTGTACGTAAGTTTAAGCTGCTAGAAATTTAACACTGTCCTTACGGGTTGATTGATTGTCTTGTTGGATTTTGCAAGATATAACAAAAAAGAAATTGCGTGACCTCTTAAACAAAGTAAACTATTATTTCATCATACTGTAGCAAAAATATCAGTTTTTAATGCATGCTGTGCGGGGGAGATCAATGGTCTAAAGTAGCATTGTTTTCTCTCTGGGGAGTAAAATCAGCTGTTGTCAAATCATAATGTCCGCA